GTCCTATCCCCATGTCCATAACTTCTCCCATCCCCATACCCATCGCAAGTCCCGTGCCCATACCCTTCCCTATTCCCATCCCATGACCATCCCCAGTCCCATTCCACGACCATCCCCCATGACCATCCCTTGTTCCATCCCCATGCCCATCCCTTGTCCCATCTCCATGCCCATCCGTGATCCCAACCTCATGCACATGCTTAGTCCAATCCCCATGTCCATCCCTACACCCACACTATGCGTATCCCTATTCTCATTCCCATGCCAATCCCTAATAACTTCCCCATACACACTCCTAGTCTCATTCCCATGCCCATCCCTATGCCCATCCCCATGCCCATGCCAGGTCCCATCCACATGCCCATCCCTAGACCCGTCCCAATACCCATTCCTACTCCCCATGCTAATCCCTACTCTTATCCCCATTCTTATCCCTAATCCCAAAACCATGCCCATTCCTAATACCATTCCCATGCCCGCCCCTAATACCATTACCATTCCCAACCCCTAATACCATCCCCGTGCCCATCCCTATTCCCATCCCCATCCCCATGCCCATCCCTAGCCATATCCCCTTGCCCCTACACATTCATATTCCCATGCCCATCACTAGTCCATCCCCATACCCATCCATACTCCCATCTCCATGCTCATCCCTAATACCTCCATGCCCATCCCTAGTTTCATCCCCATTCCCATCCCTAGTCTCATCCCCATGCCCATCCCTGGTCTCATCCACATGCCCATCCCTAGTCTCATCCCCATGCCCATCCCTAGTCCGATTTCCATGCCCATCCCAATTCCAGTTCCCATAACCACATTTAGTCCAGTGTCCATGCCCATCCATAACTCCATCCCCATGCACATGCCTAGTCCCATCCCCAAATTCATGCCTATTCCCATCCCCATGTCCATACCTACTCTCATCCTTATGCTCGTCTGTTTTCCCATTCCCACGCCTCTCCATAGTCCCATCCCCATTCCTATCCCTACTCCCATCTCCATGCCAAAACCTATTCCCATCCCCATGCCCATCCTATTTCCCATCTACAAGCTCATCCCAAGTCCAATGCCCTTTTTCATTCCTAATCCCAATCCCATTCCCATCCCTACTCACACAGATCCATGCCTTTCCGATTCCCATCCTCATGACTGTAGTTAGTGTGAAGAGTCACTCTACAACAAAAGTTGGACTACGATGAAGGCACGTGTTGTAGGAGTGATCGTAGCGTTTGCTTGTGTCCTCTCTACGCACACATTCACGGGGAGAACTGGCAAGAGTTCCACTAGAAAAGTCGACAATCTGCCAGCGTTGCGTAGAGGTATTGCGCCAGCATTACAGAAAGGCGGCGTGCCAGCAGCGCAGCTTGCCAACGCTGCAGTAGAGCGGTCTGTCAGTGTTGCATCCACATGTGACAGAAGCGCATGTGCGCACCCGCTTTGCAGATGTGCGGCGACGGTCTTGCACGTTCTCTACCGTCGTGCAGGAGCCAAGTCGGCCACATGCCGATGATTGCGTCTGACGCTCCATGTCGACTCAGGATACCAGCCTGAGGTCGCCCTCGCCATCGCAACCCCGACGAGCCTCACGTACCTCCGCGGGACCTTGTGGGAATTACTTGGTCGATTGGGTCGACCACCCAGCGCCCTGGTCAACGACCTCCCTCGTCGATCACTGCTCCTGTCGAAGACCACCCTGCTTGACGGACCCCTCCGTCGACCAGCTTGGTAAGGTGTTGTCAAACTGCCATCTTCGACGGCCTCCTCGACAGTCCCGCGCAGATTGACGATCACCTTCGTCGACCACTCCCCAAGGCAGGTTGACGAACTTCTTCGTCGACCGCGCTAGTCGAAATCTGCCACCAGCTTCCCATCGTCGGCGGCTCCGCAACAGTCTTCTGCAGTGCGACCAAATCCATCGACCTGCACGCGTCGACCTCTGCGGATGGTCGGCCGCACCTCCCACGCACCCGACTACTACGTCAGCTTCGTCCAAGCGAGGGCGGTGCCAACAACCTATTCCCGTCAACACTTAGTCCCTTCCCCATGCAGATTTTTTATCCAAGCCCCACACCCATGCATAGATATATCCGCATGAAGTTCCTCAGCCGGGGACGCCCATCCCGTCCTAGTGATGGCTCCAACAGCTCTTGCCTGCTGGCCTCACAAGCGATGGGCGTGGAACTTCACCAGCCATCCCCATGCCAATGCATAAATATATCCGCATGAAGTTCCTCACAGCAGTAATAGATTTAGCCGTCCTACTGATGGCTCCAACAGCTCATGCCTGCTGGCCTCCCATATAATCACAGCTCACCCAGGCCACTGTTGCTCATAACCCCTTCATCATCTTCTTCTAATACTTGTCTTCCAAGCCTTCCAACCCTTGAGCCATCTATTGAACCATCCCGAGCCTTCTCGTCAGCTTTGGAAACCTTCCAACAGAGCTCCTCCAGCCACACTGCCAGTGCAAGCACAGCCACACCTTGGCACAAGTGCAGGTCCAGTGACCAAACCGGGCCAGCGAGGCTTGGGACAGGTTGGCTCAGCGGTGTTTGATACGGCCCAAACCTCTGAGCCTCCTCTGTTGCCCCCTCCACCACTGCCCCTTGCCCCTTCGCTGATAGCAGTGCTGTACGCCGCCACGTCAGCACTCATCCCCCGCCCATGCATCTCCTCGAATAGCTCCGCTCACTCCAAAGCTGGTGGCTCCTCGGGCGCGCCAGATTCCGAACCCATCGCCGCATCTGCTGCTGCTCCTCTGCTGCTACCTGTCATGCGAGACATGGCCTACATGCTAGCCCGGAGAGGCCACTGCAGCAAAGGCTTCAGCTATGGTGTTGCATGCAGATGAGGAAAAAACGAGCCGGTGGCGGCTGCGGCGGTGTTGATGGGAAGTGGAAGGAGGGGAGAGCAGGGAAGGGATGTTTTGATAGTCTCTCATCATGTCACCAGAGCCACCACCCCCTAAATGAGCCATATCCATCACCCTCATACCCATCACCATCATAGTCATAACTAGCATTGACACCATACTCAACTCCTCTTCCTAACACCATTCCTGTTCCCACAGGTTCGTCTACCCACCCCTGTGACCCCCTTCCATTCCCCTCCCATGTCTTCCCATCCCTTTTTCCTGATATTTGCCCTTCCACCATCATCCCCCCACCCATCATCCTTCCCCCATAGTCTCTCCCCCTATCGCCACCCCCCCCCCCCATTGTCCATCCCCCACGCTCCTCCCCCATTTCCCCTCACCACGCATCCCCACTGCCCCAATCCTCCAACCTTTAATGCCATTCCCGCAACTCTTTCCCATGCCAATTCACCTCCATCCATGGAACCTGCCCACATCGTTACCCCACCCCTTCCATCTCCTGCCTCACCCATCCCTATGTCCCTTGCACCCATCAAAACCATTTTCATGTTCCCCACACCTATCACGCCCATTGCCATGTCCCCTAGTCCCATGTTAATGCTAGTCCCAGGTCCTATCCTCATGCCCATCCCTACACGCATCTGCATGCCCATCATCATTCCTATACCCATGCCCATCCCTGGTCTCATCCCCATGCACATCCATATTTGCATCCTCATACCCATGCCTAGCACCATCCCCATGTCCACCTCAGGTCCCATCCTACAGAAAAACCCTAATATCATACACATGCACATTCATAATCCCATCCCTGTATGCACATCACTGCTCCCATCACCATGCCCATACCTAATCGCATCCACATGCACAAAGAAAATCGCATCCCCATGCCATCCCTAGCCAAACCCCATGCACATCATTACGTGCCCATACCTCTCAAGACACATACCCATGCCCATCCCTAGTCCCATCCCCATGCCCATCCCTATTCCCATCCCCATGCCCATCTCTTGTCCCATTCCCATGCCCATCCACATACCCATCTCTTTTCCCATCCCAATAACGATTCATAATCCCATCCTCGTAACCATGGTAGTACCACCCTTATGCCCATCCGTCTCTCAATTTGCCCGTCCCCACTACCATTCCATACCCATTCCTAATCTCATACCCATACCACCCTGGGTCCATCCCGTTGACCATTCCTATTTGAATCCCATACCCATGTCCATTCCTAGTCCCAACCTTATGCTCATTCCTATTCGCATCCCATACCCATGTCCATTCCTAGTCCCATCCCCATGCCCATTCCTATTTGCATCCTATACCCATGTCCATTCTAGTCCCATTCCTATTCGCATCCCATACCCATGTCTAGTTCCATCCCCATCTGCATCCCTAGTCCTATCCATATGCCCATCCTTAATCTTATCCCCACGCCAATCCCAAGTCCCTAGTTCCATGTGCATGTACATGCCCTTCCCTACTCCCATCCCCTTCCCCAATCCCATCCCCATGCCCTGTCCCATCCAAATGCTCATCCATATTCCTACTTCCAATCCCACCCCTAGTATCCATCCCATCCGTAGGCCCATCCCCTTGCCCATCCATGTTCCCACCCCATTCTCATCCCTAGTACCATCCCCTGCCATCCCTTGTCCCATGTCCATGCACATCCCATGTCATCCCCATGCCCATCCCTTGAATTAATTTCATGCCAATCCCTATTCCCGTCCCCATGCACATCCCTCATACATGCCCGAGCGCATCCACATCACATACCCATGCACATCTCTAGTCCCATCAGTCCCTTGGCCATGCTGGTGGAGTGTGGGCCACACCCATGGGGCTCCACTGTTCGGAAATTCCTTCTCATGGGTTTGGCAGCTAGGATTTGCCAAGTCTAGATGTACAAGGTTGTATATGTTGCTTGCTTCCAGTCTCTGCCCCCTCCCCCTTGTGTTCGATGTAAGCACCCATTTCTTAAGTGCATGCAACATCCATATGCAACAGTGAAGTGCGCTGAAGCATGCATATCATGTGCACATATCAAATGAGCTGAAATCATTACATAGGAACCATTATTGTATTTTTGAGCCACTTGATAGGTTTTAACCGCAAATCATTGTTCAAAATAAACCAGCAGAAAGTTTCTCACGTCTTGCCACAGACCAGGCCTGAAATGCTTTAAGGCATCGCTCCCTGCTGTTTTCCCTGCATCACTTGCTATCGGCCACTTCCCATCCACCCATTCCCTCAACCCATCCACCTCTGCATCCATGCGCCCATACGGATCACTACTGAGCGCTTTAAAAGGCAACTCACTACAAGCCATGAAGTCTCTCACAGCTCTCCGCCCTTGTGATGGCTCCAGCAACTCATGCCCACTGGCCTCCAATATAATCACAGCTCGTGCAGGCCACTGTAGCTCATAATCCCCTTCAATATCTCCTTTCAATACTTGCCTTCCGAGTCTCTCTCCTCCCGAGCCTTCCACTAAACCATCCCGAGCCTCCTTTTCAGCTTTGGAAATCTTCCAGCAGAGCTCCTCCAGCCACACTGCCAGTGCAAGCACTGCCACCGGACCTCGGTACAAGTGCAGGTCCAGCGACCAAACCGGGCCAGCCAGGCTCGGCACAGGTAGGCTTGGCGGTGTTGGATATGCTCCAAATCTCCGAGCCTCTTCCAGGACCAAACAGGCTCGGCGAAGCCTGCCAAACCTGCAGAGAGCTGCGGCAAGAGAGGCAAACAGAGGGCGCAGGGAAGCAGGGTGGGCACTGCCTTGGACGCTTCGAAGAAGCTTCCTTAAGTCATGGAACAGAGCCTTCTCCTGTGCTGATGAAGCATCAAATCCTGTCAGCTGTTGCCGCCGCTCCTCTCCACTGCCCTGCGAGCCAAATCTCCCAACCACCTCTTGCTGCCCCACTCCTCTGCTCTCCAAGCCTCCCTCCAGCGACTTTTGAGTCAGCTCAAAAGTTACTCCTCTGCACTCCAAGCCTCCATCCAGCGTCAAGTCCCGTGTCATCCCACCCTCTACCAGCGACAGGCCCAGGAAGCGAACGAGAGGGCGGAAGCGAGCAGCCTGTAGGGAGCAGAGCCAGTGAAGCAGCCGGTGGGATTCTGCTGATGCTGCAGAGGCCGTCGCAGCAGTAGCAGTAGGCAGAGCAGAAGCAGGAGCAGCAGGAGCAGCAGTAGCAGTAGGCAGAGCAGAAGCAGGAGCAGCAGTAGCAGTAGGCAGAGCAGAAGCAGGAGCAGCAGTAGCAGTAGGCAGAGCAGAAGCAGGAGCAGCAGTAGCAGTAGGCAGAGCAGAAGCAGGAGCAGCAGTAGCAGTAGGCAGAGAAGCAGGAGCAGCAGTAGCAGTAGGCAGAGAAGCAGGAGCAGCAGTAGCATCGGATGATACACATTCCACTTGTGTTGGGGTATTCTTTCTGTCTGTCTCTGCCTGTGCTTGTGCCAGCAGCAAGAGCAGGGCAGCAGCGCACACGGCCCCTTCACTCATCCCCCACGCCTCCACCTCAAGCACCTCCTCTGCTGCCCCCTCCACCACCGCCCCGTGCCCCCTCGCTGCCAGCACAGCACTGTACGTCGCCACGTCAGCACACATCCCCCGCCCATGCATCTCCTCCAATAGCGCCTCCGCTCTCTCCAAAGCTGGTGGCTCCTCGGGCGCCCCGGCTGCCGAACCTATCGCCGAAGCTGCTGCTGGTGAGTCAGCTTCGGACCATCTGTTGCCAGCTGCTCCCCCTTCACCCTCTCTCTTTCTCAAAGTGTCAGCCAAACCACCACTGCGGCTATGACCAGCATCGTCATCATTATCAGCAGAGGTAAGAAAAGCATCGATGGCAGTCAAATAGCACTCCCTCTCCACCTCCTCTGCGGCTGGCCACGCTTGGTTCTCCCCATCCAGGAACCACTCTCCCCTTCCTCCCATCCCACCTCCATCACCAACCAATTCAGATCCATTCCTACCCCTACTCTCACCCACTCCCATTCCCCTTCCACCACCGGAATCATTCCCTAAGTGACTTTGCACAACTCCCGCCTGCCCCACCTGCCCCACTTGCCGCGCGATTCCCAGCATCTCCCTCATCCTTCCCACCTTCCCTACAGCTCCAAACGCCTGCGCTGCTGCCACGTAAGCGCCAGCTGGCAGGCTCCGGACTGCTCCACTTGGCGACACGTAGGCGCCAGATGGAGTCGTTTCCAGCATACCCCGTCGCACTGCCCGCTGCAGAGCCGCCTCCATGCCCGCCATGTCAGCAACAGCTGCGCAAGCGGAGAGGAGGGCGGCAATGGTCGTCTCGTCGCGGGCCACTCCGTGCCGAAGCATGTAAGCCATGACTCGCCTCACGCCGCCCGGAGAGGCCACTGCAGCGTAGGCTTCAGCCATGGCGTTGCATGCAGATAAGGACAAAACGAGCCGGTGGCGGCCGCGGGGGTGGTAATGGGGATGAGGAGGGGGAGAGGAGGGTAAAGAGAAGACTTCTGTATGGCCACTTGCCATGCCACCATACCCATCACCACCATAGTCATAGGTACCATTGGCACCGTACTCAACCCCTCCACGTACCGCCATCCCTGTCCCCATAGGCTCGTCAACCCACCCCCTTGAACCCCCTCCATTCCCCTCCCATGTCCTCCCCTCCCTCCCTCCCCATATTCGCCCCTCCACCATCATCCCCCCGCCCATCATCCTTCCCCCCATGGTTTCTCCCCCCATCGTCCCTCCCCCTAAACTTCTTGCTCCTATCCCCCCACCACGCACCCCCACTTCCCCCATCCTCCCACCAACGCCCTCCCCTGCAACTCCCCCCCAATCTGAATCACTCGCACCCATGCCACCTGCCGCCGTGCCACGTGCACCCATGCCACCTGCCGCCATGCCACGTGCCCCCATGCCACCTGCCGCCATGCCACGTGCCCCCATGCCACCTGCCGCCATGCCACGTGCCCCCATGCCACCTGCCGCCATGCCACGTGCCCCCATCCTTCCCACACCTCCCTCATCTCCTGCCACACTCACCCCCATACCCCGTGCACCCATCACACCCATTCCCATTCCCCGTGCACCGACCCCCATCCCCCGTGCACCCATCCCCAAGGTCTGAGCCCCCAAGAACAGAGCCTCCATGTGGGAGAGCATGCCTGCCCGCGCGTATGCCTCCACTGCTGCCGACACCACCCCCATGCCTCCGCCCCCCGCCCCCACCCATGCTTGCAGCCGCGCCGGCTCAGCCAGAGCGTGAGAGGGGAAGGATGAGGCTGAGGAGGTGGAGCGGGACAAGGAGGAGGGAGAGGGGGGGGGAGAGGAGGAAGGAGAGGAGGTGGAGGAGGGAGTGGGGCTGGAGGAAGGGGTGGTGTTGAGAGGGTGCAGCTGCAGCAGGCACCACTCCATCTCTTTGATCTCCACTGCTGAGGCAAACGCCACCGCTGCTGCAGCAAGCAGCCTGCTGCGCGCACTGGAAGAATCACCACCACCATTGCTACTGCTGCTGCTGCTGCCGCTGTTGGGAGTGGAGTTGTTTTCTTTTCGGGCAGCAAGGGGCATGGACTGCATCTGCTTGAGCAGGCGCAGGATTTGTTTCGGCTGCCCGGCGGCGCTGTAGGCATCAGCGAGAAGCGTGAAGGTGGTGGTTGTGGGGCGCACGCCGATCGCCCTCATCAGCCGAAACACCTTCTCCATCTCCTCCACCATACCGGCCTGCAGTAGAAAGTATGCACGGAAGTGGAGAGGAAAAGGGAGAGGCCAGGAAAGACAGAAGGAAGGTGGTGGGTGTGAGGCGCACACCGATGGCTCTCATGAGTCGAAACACCTTCTCCATCTCCTCCACCATGCCCGCCTGCAGTGGTGCACGTGAGGCAAAACGAAACACACTTTGTGATGTTGAAGGATAGGAGCGGAGCAGCAGTGTGGTGAGCGACTGCAAGGTTAGGCCTGGCGTGGAGGCTCGGCGCCACGACTTGGCAACCAGGGTGTTTTTGAGAATTCTCAAAAACACCCTGCAGCATCAAGGTTAGGCTTGGCGTGGAGGCTCGGCACCACGACTTGGCAACCACAGCAGTGTGCCGAGCCAGCCAGGTACCGAACCAGCAGCGGGTCACAGCTAAGCCAGGTTCAAGGGCAGCAGAGAATCACCTGAGAGAGGTACTTGAGGGGCAGGTCAAACGACTCGGCATGCAGGCGGTAACGCATCTTCACAAGATGCAGCAGCGTGCGCTGCATGCGCTCAAACACACCCCGCCTGCGCTCTGCACTCCGCTGCCTCCCCCCCTGCTGCCCCTCCGCTGCATCAGCATCAGCATCCCCTCCCCTCCTCTCAGACCTCCCAAACCTCCCCTCCCGCTCCCCTCCGCGTCGCTGCCTGGCCTCCTGCTGCCTCCCCTCCCGTCTCCCCGTCTGCTCCTCCTCCTCCTGCTCCCGCTCCTGCTGCGGTTGTCTCTGAGCGGCTTCATGCTGCGACTCAAACCACTCAGTTCCCTTGCTGTCTTGGCGGTGCAGGGAGGTGAGGGCGTGGGCGCCATAGGCGTCCATGAGGGCATGGAAGGTGTGCACGTTGGGTGCTGTGCGGTAACCCATCTGCATGTTCTCAAACACTGCTTCCATCTCTGATAGTAGACCCGCTCTGTGAGTGGGTGAGAGGGAGAGGGGAACGGGACGAGACGCACAACAAGGAAGAGAGGAACAGTGAAGCACACAGGTAGCAGCACAGGTGTGCACGTTGGGTGCTGTGCGGTACCCCATCCGCATGTTCTCAAACACCGCCTCCATCTCTCATAACAGACTTGCTAGGTGGCCGGGCACAGGAAAGTGCACAGGGAACCTGACGAGGTGGCCCGCTGGGCACTGCACTGCACGATACCCCATCCCATAAGTGAAACAACAGCTGCCGACTTTCGTGTTGACTCAGAAGATGATATATGCGTCGCGCTGCCTCTGTCTGTGTTGGCAGGCCCACCGTGTGTGTGTGGGAAAGAGGGGCGATGCACACATGAGGAGGAGGCGGCCAGGATGTGCACTGATGCTGGCGTATCTCAGCGTTTCACAAGCTGCCATGCCAGCGTTTGGGCTGAGTTTTTAGTAGACTCAAAAAACTAACTCGGCTCACAGTATGTGGGAAAGAAAGACGATGGATACATGAGAAAGAGCTTCTAAAAAAATGGTCACCTCAAGGAGCGTGCCCAACATTCCCTGCACCTGCCCCACCGCCTATCACGCCCAGTACATCACCTCTTTCTCTCTCACATCTCTTTCTCATCCCCCCTCATCTGCCAAGGCCCTGACGACGCATCAGTTGCAGCTGCCCCGCACCCCCGTACGCGTGATTACACACTCGAGTATTAGCACCCACCCTGTCGCAAGCAATCCCTCTCACCCACCCCTCACCTGCCGAAGCCTCGGATGAGCCCATTGAAAGTGCGCGCATCGGGTTTGTGTCCCACGCTGGTGAGTTCAAAGAACTTGTCTCGCATCAGCTGCACCTGCCCCCCTCCCCCCCACGTGTTCACACCACACACGTGTGTTTCAGCACCCCATCACCAGCAATCTCTCTCACCCACCCCTCACCTGCCGACCCCTAAAGAGGCCATTGAACGTGCGCACGTCTGGCCTCAGTCCCACCCTGGTGGGCCCAAAGAACTTGTCTCGCATCAGCTGCAGCTGCCCCGCACTACCCCCCTCCTATGCCCGCCCACACACAAGTGTCTCTCAACACCCCCTCTCAATCAATCGCTCTCGCCCACCCCTCACCTGCCGAAACCTCGGATGAGTCCATTGAATGTGCGCACATCGGGCCTCAACCCCACGCTGGTGAGCTCAAAGAACTTGTCTCGCATCAGCTGCAGCTGCCCCGCTCCCCCGTACGCGTCAATCAGGGCGTTGAAGGGCGTGGCGTCGGGCAGCACGCCCCTGTGCGCCATGTCCGCTAGAAGATCCTCTGCCTCCGTGGTGCGCCCCACTAAGCACAGTGCCTTCACTGCCGACCTGCGACCAGGGGTGAGTAAAGAGGGGAGCAACATGGGGAGTGGCGTCGGGCAGCACACCCCTGTGCGCCATGTCCGCTAGAAGATCCTCTGCCTCCGTGGTGCGCCCCACTAAGCACAGTGCCTTCACTGCCGACCTGCGACCAGGGGTGAGTAAAGAGGGGAGCAACATGGGGAGTGGCGTCGGGCAGCACGCCCCTGTGCGCCATGTCCGCTAGGAGATCCTCCGCCTCCGTGGTGCGGCCTACCAGGCATAGTGCCTTCACTGCCGACCTGGGAATATGCACGCGCGGTGAAGCAGGGGGAGGGCGAGAAAGAGGGGGGCGTTAAAGGGCGTGGAGTCTGGCAGCACGCCCCTGTGCGTCATGTCCGCTAGAAGGTCTGCGGCCTTTGTTGTGTGGCCTACCAGACAGAGAGCTTTCACTGCCACCCTGAGGCGAGGAATTCGGAGCAGAGGGGCACTGGAACGGATGGCATGGCATGGCGTGGCATGGCGTGGCACGACAAGGCATGGCACAGAATGGCGATGTGGCATGACATGGCATGGCATGGCATAGCATGGCATAGCATGGCATAGCATGGCATAGCATGGCATGGCATGGCATGGCATGGCATGGCATGACAAGGCACGGGATAGCACGGCACGGCACAGCATGGCATGGGATGGCTTGGAGTGGCATGGCATGGCCTGTGAATTCTAACATAACTTCTCGAAGCTGACTCACCCATAAGCCGCAGCATCTGGAGCACAGCCGGGGGTGGCCTTCATCTGGTGCAGTAGGGCGAGGGCAGCCGTGGCCTGGTGGCGGCGCCCATACGCGTCGATCATCGCTGCATACACCGACGGCGTGCGCACACACGCCTTCAACCGCGGTAACTGCGCCAACGCTGCTGCCGACGCTGTTGCCGCTGTTCCTTCGGCCCCTCCTGCCCCTCCTGATCCTCCTCCAACTCGGTTTCCTCCCCCTGCTCCTCGCGCTGCTGCTGCTAAAGAACCTTTTGACGCTGCTCCAGCAGCAGCAGCTTTCTTCTTGAGTCGCCTCCGCCGCCCCTTGCTCGTGCCCCACCGGTCGCCATCCGGATCATCCTCATCCTCGTCATCATACCCTGGGTTTCGTGCCAGCTCATCGTCCAACCCATCCACGTCATCACCACTAAAATCATCGTCATCACTGCCAGAATCCCAACTATTCCCCCTCACACCATTCCTCACATCCTCCCTCACACCACCCCTCCCAGCCGCTCCCCCACCCCCCCCTGAGCCCACCAGCATAGCCATTCCCCCAGTGAGGGGCACAGCAGGGCCGCCATCCATGGAGGCAAAGAGTGCAGCAGCAGTATCAGTCCGCGAGTTCCGCGCCAGCACCTCAATCATCCGCGCATACAGCATCGGATCCGGCTCGAACCAGTGGGCGGTTCGGATGCACTCAAACGCCTCGATCGTACGGTCCACGTCGTTCCGGCGCATGAGCTCGTTCAGAGCGCCTAAAACGCACTCGGGGCCAAAGCACTTGGCGTATTTCCGCAGCACGTGCCACACCTTTCGCTCCCCCCCAGGCTCTAGCTTCCCCAGCTGCACCATCACCACGCCTATCTCCTTTGCGAGGGTTTCCTCGGTTTTCTTCCCGCGCAGCCGCCGCGCCAAGGGGTGTTTCGGCGGAGTCTTCCCCGGCGCTGTGCCCCTCCCCGTTCCGCCGATGCCGGTTCCGCCGGCGGTCCCCGTTGCTCCGCTAGCCGCCCGCGCGCCAGCCGATCGCGGGGCTCCGCTTGGGCCCCCTGTGCTCATCGAGGCTGCGCCGATGGGTCCCCCCGCGCTGTAGTCCCCCCAGCCGTCCGCGCTCGCTCGATTACCGACGGGAGGGCGGCGCGACGAGGGGAAACGCGATGAAGCCTCATCCTGTGAATAGCGTGATCCGCGTGAATCCCCTGAATTCCGTAAATCGCGGACGGAGTAAGTGTCCAACAAACGCGATGGACTGGCCTCAGTCCGCCGCGCCCTTCCGGGGCGCCATGATTCCCGCTCCTCGTCATCAGTTCCTCCCCTTCCGCCTCCCCTCAGGTCTCCGCCGATCCCCTCGCCTCTCACCTCTCCTCTACCCTCTCCCCTCCCCTCCCCACTCCCCCATCTTCTCTCCCCTCCCATTTCGCGGACTCTTCCCTCGTACCGCTCTGTCTGATCCCCGCGCCATTCCCGCCGCTGCGCATGATCCCCGCCGCGCCAGTCACCCCTCCGCACGCTCCCCCCGTCCCCTGCTCCCCGGTTTCCCCCGAACGACGCTGTTACTGTTACCACCCTTCGGTTGTCTTCGCAGAGTCGGAGTTCGCGAATTCGGAGTGTTTTCCAGCGACGAGGGAAAAATGCGGGCGGGGGAGCGCGAATCGGGAGGACGAGCGGGGAGGAGTGGCCGCGGAAGGGCAAGGCGGAATGCGTGGAGGTGGAATTCCCGAGAAGACAAGTCAAGGAGGTCATGTCACGTGGTACGATCTCCTTGATACGATACGATACGATACGGAAGCAGCTCCCTATCTAGGTCAACAACTCCCTAGTCTCCAGTTGCGGTAGGGACGGACAGATACGATGGTTCCTCCTGAGATGTAATGCGCGCCCGCTAGGACGACGGACGGCTGTGCTTCAAATTATGGGTTGTGTGAGGGATAAAGCTGGTCCTGAGTCAGACGGCTTCGCAAGCTTGTTCCGGACTCCAGTCCAGACCAGAGTTTGCTCCCTTCATAACATCTGCTCTACAGCGCGCTCCGTCAAGAGGCACAGTCAGGGTGCACTATACGGAAAGGTATGGACATTATATGAATATAATGCTGCACTATGCAATTAAATCCACGTGTTCTTATTGTAAGGAATTTTGCTAATTCCTTACTGAGGCACCGCTTACGCGTACATTTCCAACTTTTCGGAGTTCAGGCTCGGTCCGACGACCTCGCCTCCCGAACGTCCTCCGCGTCGCCTTCGGGTTTTCCAAACCCAAACCTACACCCAACCCTCGCACGACTTCGCGACCTCGGGCTTAGCTAGCCTTGCTATATTATGCCTAGGCCCCAATGTTTGCTCAGTAGTTGTAATCACTTCCGCGATATTGCATTCTGTGCACTCTTCTTTCATACAACTCATAACACCTGGTATCAGAGCTACTTTCCTAGGTTACCCTCCACTTTCCGGGGTAGTTTAGTACGGGGGTGCGATAGGTTTGGTGGGCTGCAAAGCGGTCGGCTGAGAGATAGATACGATTATCTCGCTCCGACTAATAGCGTTTGCGCCTTCATCAAAACCAGAAAAATCGTTGTTAACCCCCTGCCCGTTAGACGAAGCCTGCGACACATGGACCAGGCGGAGTTAAACGAGCTCATGCAACAGTTTCGGGCGCTGCAGGCCAACATGCAGACTATGTCTGGCGAGTTGGAGCGCCTGAGGGAGGAAAACGCCGAGCTACGCCAGACGCGAGGTGAAGCGCGTCAGGAGTCGCACGCCGTGGATGAAGCATGAAGCAGTTTCGTGCCTAACGACGAGGTCCTCAGCGAGCTACAGAACTCGCTGGACGCTGAAGACGAGCGGACACCACGAACGCAACGAGCACAAGGGACGCAGGAGCAACAGTCACAGCCGAGGCAACAGTCGCAGACGACGCCACGACAGCCACCAGCGACAACCCCGGTGATGGCTTCAATGGCGCCCCCGATGCATGCAGCAGCAACAGTCTCAACAACTGTTAAAATAAAACCGACGAACCCGCCCCCGTTCAACCCCAGCGACAAAGCCGTCACTGTGTCAGCTTGGTTGTTCGGTGTAGAGGTATTTTTCAATGCTGCGCAAATTGCTGACGATGCTACCCGCATTAATTTTGCAGTGTCACTATTGCGAGGACCGGCATTGGAATGGTGGAAGCGGACTCTTCAGCCAGAGGGGGCTCCGGCAGGGATATCACGTGCGAACGACGGGACCTGGGCAGCTGTCACGCAACATGCAACTTCAATCTTCGGAGTGGCCATGATACGCACATGGACGGAGTGGGGCGCCGCGCTGCGAAGCAGATTCGAGCATTTATCCGCCTCGGATTCTGCTCGCATGAAGCTGCGTACCTGGAAGCAGGTGGCGTCGGTCCAAGATTACACGGCGACATTCTGCAATTTGGCTGACCAAGTGGACGATTTGAGCGACGCGGAACGACTCGACTGATACGTCGCAGGCCTCAAGTACGACGTACAGTACGAGGTGCGACGGGCGAGGCCACGCGTATTTATCGAATCCGTCCAAGTGGCCAAATCGACGGATGCGCTGATGCAATGGGCGAGAATGAGTTCCCGGGAGGGCACTCAATTTCGTGGACCGCCGCGCCAGCCCACAATCAACGGGGTGGATGCACCGAGGCGGGGAAACAACAACTGCTTCAACTACAACCAACCGGGCCACTGGAAGAAGGACTGCCCGAAGCTGAAACAGGGAAACAGGAACGACGGAGAGGGGTCGGGAAAAGAAACGAGTCAGTAGCAGTCGGGCCACCTACTGACGAGACCCCGTCGCCCGGCAATCAACATCCACACCGAGTAGTGGTACCGATACGGGCTATCGACCGCAACCGGACGAATAAGGTGGATGAACACGTGGATCACCCTGTGCTGGTCGTGGGGAGGGTTAACGGGCACAAAATAAAATTATTCGTCGACGGTGGGGCGAGCCACAGTCTCGTCAACCTGGCGACGGCCAAAAAAATTGGAGTCAAGCTGGACAGGTGTCTACCAGAGATTGATGCGCGATTGGTGGACGGAACACCGCTGGCGATCAAGGACGAGGTCCGACAAATTCGGATGAAGTGTGGCGACGATTTCGGGTTCTCCATGCGAATGCTGGCGACAACACTGGACGGTTGCGATGTGCTGCTCGGAAGGGATTGGCTGCAGCGTTTCAATCCGACCATCGACTGGACGACGGGAGCGATCACGGTGCTGTGCAACAAGGGGCGCGTGACACTTCCGAAATGGGCGGAGCCGGAGCCGACGACAACACGTGTCAACGCGATAACGCTGAAGAGGGCGATAAAACGGGGAGCGCAAGGCTACGCCGTACAGCTGTACGAGGTGGTGGCTTCCGAAAAAATCGCCGACATCGACACGCTCTGCGCTGCTGTACCCGACGACGTGGCGAGCATAATTCGGAGGTACCCCGAAATATTCGCAGATGACCTACCTGATGGGCTGCCACCCCAGCGTCCGGAAGACCACAGGATTGAGCTGGAACCAGGCGCGAAACCAACCGTTCGGTCCCAATAGCGGCTCAGCCAACCGGAGCTCGACGAATTGCAGAACCAGCTGGATTATCTGCTTTCTAAGGCCGAGCACGTCGCCGTACGCTGCCCCGATACTATTCACACCGAAGAAGGACGGAGGCCTGCGCATGTGCATCGACTATCGAGCGTTGAATCGGGTCACAATCAAGTCACGTTACCCGATCCCACGAGCAGACGACCTGCTGGATCAACTTCGCGGGGCTCGTTTCTTCTCGAAAATCGATTTGCGAGGTGGCTACCATCAAATTCGTGTGTTCGCTGACGACTGCCCGAAGACCGCATTCCGCACCCGCTACGGCAGTTATGAGTACACCGTGATGCCGTTCGGGCTGACGAACGCACCCTCGACTTTCCAGCTCACTATGAATGGAGTGTTTCAGGACATGTTGGATAAAAAAGTTATTGTTTACCTGGACGACATCCTGATGTACAGCAAGACTCGGGAGCAGCATTTACAGAACTTAGACGAAGTGTTCCGACGCTTGCAGCAGAACCGGCTGATTACGAAGGGCTCTAAGTGCGAGTTCTTATGGTCGGAGCTGGAGTTTCTGGGGCACGTTGTCTCTGGGGAAGGCATTAAAATCGACCCTCAAAAAGTAAAAGCGATTTCGGAGTGGAAGCCGCCCACGAACATCACTGAGTTGCAGAGTTTCCTCGGCTTCGTTAACTACGTCCGCCGTTTTGTACCCAATATGGCGGGGGTAACCAGGCCGTTAACCGATCTCCTGCATAAGGGCGTGCAGTTTTTTTGGGGGGAGAGAGAACAGCTGGCTTTCAACGAGCTGAAGAAAATTTTGAGTTCACCCCCGGTGCTTCGACTGGCAGATCCATCTCGACCGTTCGAAGTCGTGACGGACGCCAGCGATTTCGCTGTCGGCGCTGTGCTATTACAGGACTTCGGCAACGGACTGCAACCCATCGCGTACGAGTCAAGAAAAATGCAGCCGCCCGAGCGCAACTACCCCGTTCACGACAAGGAAATGCTCGCCATCGTGCAGGCGTTTCGAACATGGCGATGCTACCTCACGGGAGCAGATGTCACAATCCGAACTGACCACAAGTCACTACAGTACATGCGCAGCCAACCACAGCTCAACCCACGACAAATCCGGTGGCTCGACTACCTCGAATCAAATTTCCGCTACACCATCACATATAAAAAGGGCGCCAACAACATCGCCGACGCTCTGACCCGCCCATCCATGCAGACCGCAGCAGTACTAATCGCCCATTCCAACCCTTTATTAGCAGGATTATTCAAGCACGGCTACAGGATCGACAGATTTTTCAGGACCAATCAACACCGCGGGGTCACTACACCGCATGGAAGTTACTACCTAAAAGTCGGTACTAACCGAGTTTGGGTACCTTCCTACCGACCCTTAAGCGAATTACTGACGCAAGAAGTACACGACTCCAACCTCTCCGGGCATTTCGGCGTCGACAAAACATTGAAGCTGCTGCAGCGGAACTACTACTGGCCCGACATGGCGTCGGACGTGCAGCGCTATGTGTCCGCCTGCCCGACCTGCCAGGCAATGAAGTCATCCCGACAACGACCAGCTGGCTTACTGCAGCCCCTCGAGCCACCCGAACGACCGTGGCAACAGGTGACTATGGATTTCGTCACGGGCCTTCCAGCTGGCGCAAGTGGCAACGACTCCGTGCTCGTCGTCGTCGATCGCTTAACGAAAATGGCGCATTTCGCGCCCTGCCGTACAACGATCACAGCCAAAGAAACAGCGCGACTCTTCATCTCGACCGTCGTACGCCTCCACGGGTTACCTTCGGCGATCATCAGCGATCGAGATCCGAAATTCACGTCGAAATTCTGGCAGGAGACATGGGCACAGTACGGCACCCGCCTGCAATTTTCGTCGTCCTACCACCCGCAAACCGACGGACAGACGGCGAGGACAAACCAAACGATGGAGCAGCTGATTCGCACGAACTGCCCGGACATCACCAAGTGGGAAGATTGCCTTCCCATGCTCGAGTTTGCGTACAATAACGCCCCATCCGCAACGACCAAGCAATAACCCTTCTACCTGAATTACGGGATAGACCCGGTGGTACCCTCATCGACAACTCCCGACAACCCGGTCCCCAGGTCACAGCAGTTTATTTCGGAACTCCAAGACGCGCGTGCCAAAGCAGCTGACTTTATCCGAAAAGCGAATTCGACCGCCAGCCGCTACGCTGACCAACACCGACGAAATTTACCCTTCCGCGAGGGGCAGATGGTTCTCCTGGACACCAAAAACCTCAGACTGCCCCAACCCGCAAAACTGCGTCCTCGATACGTGGGACCTTTCCGCATCATTCGAATGCTGACACCGGTCACTGCGAAACTTCTCCTCCCGGACGACTGGCATATCCACGACGCCTTCCACGTCAGTTTACTTCGCCACTACGTGGCACCCCAGTCCTCCGACGTCGCTCGACCCCACCAGGCGCCAAGTGTCCGACCGGTAGCAGATCCCACGGTCCAACCCTGGAAGATATTGAATCATCGCATTCGTGCGACCCCAGCCGGCCGCCACGTCGATTTTCTACTGCGATGGGTGGATCGCACAAGCGACGACGACACGTGGGTCCCGGCTGACTCACTACAAGGGCACTCGGTACTCCGGCAGTATCTTTCTCACCGACACGTGCCTGATATTGACCACCTTTCTTGAAGGGGGGGGTAGTGTAAGGAATTTTGCTAATTCCTTACTGAGGCACCGCTTACGCGTACATTTCCAACTTTTCGGAGTTCAGGCTCGGTCCGACGACCTCGCCTCCCGAACGTCCTCCGCGTCGCCTTCGGGTTTTCCAAACCCAAACCTACACCCAACCCTCGCACGACTTCGCGACCTCGGGCTTAGCTAGCCTTGCTATATTATGCCTAGGCCCCGATGTTTGCTCAGTAGTTGTAATCACTTCCGCGATATTGCATTCTGTGCACTCTTCTTTCATACAACTCATAACACTTATGCTTGGGGGTAACCCTACCTCATGTTTATACGACTATAGTTACGGAAAGTGCATACGCGTTACAAAAGTCTGCACACTCTCTTCTCCCATATTGACTTCACCATGCTGTTACCGTAAAGCGCCCATAGATACCTAGCTGAGTTGGAAAGAACCATCACCACAAGCACGAAAGCTCAAGTCAAAATCCAACTTACTGTATTTCTACTCGTGGTCAGGCGGTAGGCCGACTGGAAGCTTTCAGAATCAAACGAGCCGATCCTACTCGCTTCAAGTGCGCGTCGCCGATTGAGGGTCGTGCGTGTCTGCTCTCGCTGTGTCATCGAGCCAAGAAACGAATCTTTCCAGGTGCGGATGGCTTGGAATAGGCGCTTTCGTCTGTAGTGCAATCGTCGATCGAACCGCGCCCTCCCCTTGGCGCCACGCGCTGCTTATTCAGTCGCGCCCGTCTTGACCCGTCGTTTGTGGGGAATTACGTACTTAAATCGATCTCTTTCTCGCCCCTCGCCCTTCGCCCCTCGCCCTCGCCCTTCCTCGCCTCAGTCGCCCCTCCATACCCTCTGTACCTCACCCTTTGCCGTTCGTGCGTGCGTCTCTCTCGCCGGCTACAGTGCCTTGTCGCATCCATCGCAGCACACGCGTACTCCATCTCGTTCCCTCTCCCTACCCTCAACCCCCTCCCCGCAACCCTCAGTCTCTCTACCCCTTACCCTCAACCACCCCCCTATACCCTCCACTCCCCTGTTGGCGATCCCGATCTCTCTCCCCATCGCCCGCTCGCTGCCCCGTGCTCCTGTGCCGCGTGCTTTGAGGCGCCTCACACCACTCTCTTTCCCTGGCCCGTCACTCCCCAGCTCGTCACACCCCCTCCTCGTCAAGCCCCCCCTCTCCCCCCTCCCCCCCCGGCACGTCACACACCCCGCGCGTCACACCCCCCGCCATCCGCACTATTTGCGCCAGGCCCCGCCCCTCTCGCCTCTCGCTTCTCGTCCCTCCCCACTCCTCCCCTCCGCACTCTCCGTACTCCTGTTCTTTCCTCGTTACATCATTACTCATACGTTCCTTCCCCCCATGCTTCCCCAGTTTGCTCCCTCCTCTCGCCTGTCCGCGCCCCCCCACTTCCCTCCGCTACTCCCCTCTGCTCCTCCCCTTTTTTCTACCTCCCCCCATCCCCTCTCCCTCTCCCTACTCCCTCCAATCCTCATGTCAATCCGCTCCCCACACACAGCAAGGGAATTTCATCTTGGCCGTCCATCCTGATCATCACCTCATCTCAGTCGTCTAGCCCTTCCCACCTGTCAGCCCTGAGCTTGAGCGACTTGTGCAGCTTCGACTGTCCGCCAGGCGCTGCTGCTGCTTCGACTGTCCGCCAGGCGCTGCTGCTGCTTCTTCTGCAGCGAATGGCGAAGAAGAAGAGCAAGCGTGCTGCAGCGCCAACAGATGCTGCCAAGGTGTGCCGCCCACCGATCCTGACCAACCGCTTAAAGCTCCTTCTCGTTCTAGCAGTATTATAGCAATGCTGCCTGGCTTGGTTGGACGAGCAAACGAGAGTAGCTTTTCGGTCAGGCGAGCCGAGATGAGCTGGTGTAAAATAGCTGCGATGAGGTTTTCTAACAGTTTAATCAACAGGGTTTCCCCTTGTAGCCGACAAGTGAGCTCGGTGATCTCGTAATATGTGGTCAACATGTGATATAACTGGCGAGAATTTGTTCATGCACGTGTGATGAAGACTCTTATGATTGAATGTTCAATCAAATTAGCACCTCAATGTGATCAACCCACCCAACCCACCCAACCCACCACCCTCTTACCCCCTACCCCCCCCCCTCTCCTCTTCCCCCCCCATCCTTCCCCTCTCCGACTTTCTGTTTTTTTTTTCTATGTGGTGATTAGCAGGGCTCAGCTGCTGAGGCTGCTAATAAGTCGGCTGCGCTTGCATCAACGCCTGTGGAAGGGAGGGAGGCGGACAATGAAGGGGCGGAAGAAGAAGGGTACGCCCTTCCCCCCCCCCCCCCTTGCTCTCCTTCAAAAAAATCGATTTTGTCTACTAGCTTCTGTCACTCTTCCCGTCCCACCACCCCCCTCCCCCTCCTTTGCCCAACCTCCCCTTCCCTGTTTCCTTCCTCACCTCCATGTCTCAATCGATGTTCTTCTGTTCCAGCAGCTTACCCTTTCTTGTCCTCGAACCCAATCCTACTGGAACTGCTGGTAACGTCTGGCAGGGCACAGCAGGCGACGGAGAGCAGGTGAGTGCAGAAGAGATCTACCAAGCAGATGCGGCTCTTCACTTCTCATCCACTCCCCCCCTCGTCTGTCTCTTTTCGCTCCAACCTTTCCCATGTGGGACTGGCCTCTGCTGACAGGGTTCAGCAGGCGACGGAGAGCAGGCGAGTGCAGAAGAGGGCTGCCAAGCAGACGAGGCTCATGGACAGTGAGTGTAGCGGGTGTGTGTGACTATAGCAGGGATGATGTGTAGTTCGTGTACTTTTAGCGTCATTGATTCATCGTTCATGCGGTTATAGCAAGTGTACGTGTTTGGTATCGTTGTTCATTATCCCTCTCCTCCCTCCTGCCCTCTCCAATGCTGTGCGACAGATTTGAGGCGAACGCAGCAGACTCTCTTTGCTGCTGCTAAACTCTGCGGGCACTTAAAAAAAGTTATCCATCTTTGTTTCTCCTTCCCTCTTTGATGTTGTTCGCCAGATTTGAGGCGAACTCAGACTCTCATTGCTGCTGCGAGGGGAGACTCAAAGGTGCGTCTACACATGCAAGCACTGTTGTGAGCATGCAAGCACCGTTGTGAGCATGCAAGCACCGTTGTGAGCATGCAAGCACCGTTGTGAGCATGCAAGCACCGTTGTGAGCATGCAAGCACCGTTGTGAGCATGCAAGCACCGTTGTGAGCATGCAAGCACCGTTGTGAGCATGCAAGCACCGTTGTGAGCATGCAAGCACCGTTGTGAGCATGCAAGCACCGTTGTGAGCATGCAAGCACCGTTGTGAGCATGCAAGCACCGTTGTGAGCATGCAAGCACCGTTGTGAGCATGCAAGCACCGTTGTGAGCATGCTAGCACCGTTGTGAGCATGCAAGCACCGTTGTGAGCATGCAAGCACCGTTGTGAGCATGCAAGCACCGTTGTGAGCATGCAAGCACCGTTGTGAGCATGCAAGCACCGTTGTGAGCATGCAAGCACCGTTGTGAGCATGCTAGCACCGTTGTGAGCATGCAAGCACCGTTGTGAGCATGCAAGCACCGTTGTGAGCATGCAAGCACCGTTGTGAGCATGCAAGCACCGTTGTGAGCATGCAAGCACCGTTGTGAGCATGCAAGCACCGTTGTGAGCATGCAAGCACCGTTGTGAGCATGCAAGCACCGTTGTGAGCATGCTAGCACCGTTGTGAGCATGCAAGCACCGTTGTGAGCATGCAAGCATTCGTCTCACGTGCTCACCTTCAAATCGCACGCCCTGAAGCACACACGCAATGCTCTCTCCCCCTCCCCCCGCTCTCAGAAGAGGAAGCTCCAGCCTCTCGTCGTGAGACACCCTCGCTTCATCCCTCCCTGTAGGAAACCCTGCCAGCCAGTACGCTCACTCTCTCACTGTGGTCGACCCCACTCCCTCCAATAGAAGAGAGCGGTGCCCGGCCTCCCAACGAGCCTCACACTCGACACCCTCGCATCATCGCTGGGGGACGCCCTTTCCTGTGCTCTCACTCGCTCACTGTGTGCCTGTCCCAATCCCAACAGACCAAGAAGGCATCTAAAAAGAAGAAGAAAGGAGCAGTGTCGAACCTCCCAACGAGCCTCACGTTGGACACACTTGCTTCATCGCTGGGGGACGCACTGCCTCTCAGTGTGATTCATCCCCCCCTCTCACTCCCCTCCAACAGACCAAAAAGGCACCTAAGAAGAAGAAGAAAGGAGCGGTGTCCAACCTCCCAACCAGCCTCACATTGGACACACTCGCATCATCGCTGGGGGACGCCCTGCCAGATGCACTGGCTCTCACTGTAGTTCACCCCCCCCCCCCCACTCACCCCCAACAGACCAAGAAGGCATCTAAGAAGAAGAAGAAGGGAGCAGTGTCCAATTTGCCAACGAGCCTCACACTGGACACACTCGCATCATCGCTGGGGGACGCCCTGCCGGACGCACTGGCTCTGGGCAAGGAGGGGGAGAAGCGGCTGTCAGCGAAGCAGCGCGGGAAGATTGTGTGAGTGTGGCGTAGGGTGTGCATGGCATGCTGTGCTTGCTCTTGTCGTTGATAAGTGACCAGCATACGCAAGCCGATTCTTTCGTCCTCCCCTCCTTGCACACTCATATCAATGCAAGAAGAATATGTATGCGTTTCATATGTTCTGCTCATTTCAGTATCTGCTGTACTACAGATACCACTTCACTCTAATCGCGTTTTTGTGCCTCTCACTGTTTGTGCATACCTGTTGTCTGCAGAGTCGAAGAGACCAAGCAAATGGCGGCCGTGCTGTCACACCCCGCCTTCAAAGCCAACCCCTTCACAGCCATTCAGCAGCACCTCTCAAACACTCTTCCCTCGGCAGTCGCCCCGCCCCCTCTCCCTACCAAGTTCGCAACGAGGCAAGCCCAACAAGCCTTGGAGAAGAAGAAGAAAAAGAAGAAGGCGAAGAAGAAAGCAAGCGGAGTGCAGGGGGAAGATGCCATGGAGATGTGACAGCCATGGAGAAGAGAAAGCAGAAAGCTTATTGTGTCCCCTTGGCTGAACATCTGGGTTGTACACAACACAACACCCTTTAGAAATGAATTTTGTCATTGAGTACACATGCGCCCGTGTTTGTTTCTTGTTTTGGGGTGGTAGGACTCCACCCCAAGCACAACATGGTACATTACGTACATGCCCTGATAAAGCCAAAAACACGGGGATGCGGCTTCAATCGAAATGGGTGCCAACTAAATGACCGATGCCGTTTCTAAAATTCTGTAGGTAGTAAGATTATCTGACCATCTGCTACAGGCTCGAACAAGATCAATGCACCTGCTGCTCGTACAACAAGCACAAACACAACCATCCTATTTAAACCAGCAGACTACGTCATGAAATCAGACCTAATTACGGTAGCTGATAAGGAGCAACATCTGAAAAGCATTCCGCAACGTCTTCACTGTGACCGCAAGGTCATTCTCTCTGAAACCAACCTCAAATCAAAGCTTGACCTTCTCCCCCTAGTAAACGGTTTCTCCCTGATGCGGCTCCCTCTGCCCTCTGCGCCTGCCCCATCTGCCGTTCACTTCAATCACATTCATCCTCTTCTGCAGCGACTGCGGTAGCTCAGTCAGTTGGGCGCATCCGCCCAGATCCACCTCCCTCAGACAGGACAAACTGCCCAGACCGTCGGGCAGAGCCCGCAGCCACTTGCAGCCTTGAAGTGACAGTTTGACGAGCGATGGAAGGAGGGCGAGGGAGGAGGGCAGGTGATACAGACCAACCAGACTCCTGAGCTCCAGAGAGGTGAGATGCGAGAGGGAGGAGATGGAGTCTGGGAGGCTGCTGATTCCGGGGCAGTTTGCAACGGTCATTAGTCTGAGGGATGAGGGCAGAGTGAGGGTGGAGGGAAGACCTTGCAGAGCCTTGCACGACTGCAGAGTCAACTTGACTAGAGCTGTGAGCTGTCCAAGATTGTCCGGAAGATGCGTGAGAGGGAGAGAGTCGAGACTGAGGTGTTCCAGCTTGGAGAGATTATAGAGGACGGGTGGAAGGGAGGAGATGCAATGGCACTTGAATAGCGACAGCACCTTCAGTTCTCCGAGGTCGTCCAGATTACCCGGCAGTGCAGGGAGGTAACTGTCGAGAATGTGGAGGTGAACCAGAGATGACAGAAGGTTCAAACTAGCACGGGCTGGAGCAGGGGTGTTAGTTACAGCAGAATGGGCTATGAGGTGTTCATCCAATCGGAGGCTGTGTAGGTCCAAGTGACAAAGGCGGCTGAGCGACAGGAAGGACTCTGGGAGGCTCTTGACGTTCTGGAAGGTGTTGGATATGCTGATGGTCGTGAGAGAGACCGGAAAGGGCGGAAGAGACGGGAATGGGCTCCACACTACAAGCACCATGCTGGGACAGTCTTTGAGTGTGAAGTGCTCAAGCTTAGGCAGCATTTGCAGGCCTTCTGGGAGGCTTTCCAGACGAGGGCAGCCAGAAATCTCCAAATTCTCAAGGGAAGGAAAAGGCGGATCAGAAGCCGCAGCAAGAGCGGCTGATGTGCATGCGGGTCCAGCCTGAAGGGCAAGGGCCTGCATGCGAGGGGTTAGAAGAGAGGGCAAGTAGGACAACTGGTCGCAGTTCCTCACCTTGAGCACCTTAAGGCTGGACAGATTCCCCATCCCCATCGGCGGATCATTACGCAAATCACATCCGTCAAGAACAAGCTCCTCCAGACGAGTGAGAAGAGTAAGCGACTGTGGCAAAGTCCTGAGGGCGCAAGACCCAAAGATATCCAGGTTGGCACCCAGCCATTCGTTCTCACTGAGCCCGTGCCTGTCGTATTCCTCCTTTGTTCCAACCTTGAAAATCTCCCGGCTTGCCAGCTTCCCAAACCCTGCTGGTAGCCGTTGTAAGGCGCAATTGAATAGCTCTTGTCTACGCAGCTTCGGCAGATGCTCAAAACTCTCAGGGAGAGATTGGAGAGAGGCTCCTCCATAGATGAGTAGCGTTTCGAGAGAAGAGAGGTTGGAAAAGGAGGAGGGGAGAACTTGTAGGCTGTAGCATTTCATTAGAGTCAGCTCTGTTAGATTCCCCAGTCTCTCGAAAGAACTGGGCAGGCTCTCAAGTAGGCTACAGGTCACCTTCAGCAAAACCAAACTTTGTAAGCTGCCCGATGTCTTTGGGCAGCACATGAAGAAGATCACACTTGTCAAGAACGAGACGAGTGAGTGACTCCATGGCTGCTACGGACTGTGGAAAAGCACGGTTGGGGGGCCGTTCAGGGCCTCTTAGGAGCGAGCGCGTGGCCGTGCTCAGCACAGTAGGCTGCCAAGAGGTCGGAGGAGAACTCACCACCTCTGTCAGAGTGCAAGCGCAAGACAGGAAAGTCCGAGTGGAAACGCTCGCTGAGCTGAAGACGGGCTCTGCGGATCCAAGGGATCAAGACATCAGGGACCTCACCCTTGGTGCGCAAGGGGAAGACCGAGGTGTAGCGCGAGTAGTCGTCAACAACTATCAGGAAGTACCTCTCGTGACCCTGACCACGGACGCGGGCTGGGCCCCACACGTCCATGTGGAGCGTCTGCAAGGGAGCAGTCGTCGGGGGAAACGAGGAGGAGTGAGGAGCGGCGCGCTGCCGCCCCTCAACACAGGGAAGACAGGGAGGAGCAGGTGAGGGAGGAAGGGGAGGAAGGACCCTGGGAAGGCCAGAGACAAGGTATCGGGAGTGCATGGCACGAAGCCGCTGCACAGACGGGTGGCCAAGGTGGTGGTGCCAGAGGACAGTCTCGTGTGCCAGAGAGCGACACGAGTAGGGGGCCGACAGCTGACCTGACGCGGACGCAGACGCAGACGCAGCGACCTGTGGGGACTCAGTGGTCAGTGTGTACAAGTCCGACCTCGGCTGCCGACTGAAGGTAGCCAAGTGACGGCCCATACGAGCACACGTGCAGTGTGTCACTCGCTTGTAGGCACGGGTGAACTGGTGAACACCCCCGTCCTGGAGCGCACATCCTGCCACCAGGTTCGTAGAGAACGAGGGGAGGTGGAGACCTGACAGTGTGCCCGACGGGACCACAGGACAGGGGAGGACAGTGGAGGAGGTCGCAATGACCGGACCCCCAAAGGGGTCACCGAGGGAGACAGCAACTGGCCGAGCAAGCGGCTCAAGGGCAGTGCGGTCACGAAAGAAGCACCGAGAAGCACCTGAGTCCAGTGTGAAGGTGTGCAATGCTGCAGTCGACTCAGTACCAGGGGGGGCAGACGCACAAGCACCTAGAGCAGCTGCCTCACCAGCACCTGGGGTAGCAGACACGCGAGTACCTGGAGCGGCACACGCACTAGTCCTAATGCCCGGGTCGGGCGGCACACACAGGTACTCAGCACCCTCTCCACTAGTAGACATCACATACATAGCAGTGAGAATAGCATCAAAGTCTAGAGCATAGATATCAATCCCCTTCTTTAGGAGATCAACCCAGCGGGGCAGCTCAGTGGCCTGAGGGAACTGAACACGCCAAGCGTCGTTGAGACGAGCGAAGCAGCGCTGTGTGGCGTGCGGTCCCCCACACTGCTGACCAGTGCGGTCACCAGTGCGAATGACGTACGTGCAGCTAAAGCCACCCCCCCCCCCCCCCCCCCCGTGCTGAGAGTACCAGTCACGGACCTCCTGGGGCGACGGAGTGTGGTGCTGGCCCTGGCCACCGCCAGCGCCTCCACGACCACCACCGCCGCCGCCACCTCCTCGACCACCCCAACCCCTGCCGCCGCCGCGTCCACCGCCACCCCCACCACCGCCTCCGCCCCTGCCACCTCCCCCGCCGCTGCCGCCACCACCCCCACCGCTGCCACTAGCCACTCCAGTCGCGCCACCACCCCCACCGCTGCCACCGCCCCCACCACCGCCTCCCCCGCCGTCACCGCCACCGCCCTTGCCCCCTTTGCCCTTGCCGCTGCGGCACCCGCTCGAAGCAGACGCAGTCCCGACCTTCTCAGCACCAAGGAGGTCGACGGCAGCAGCAGAGGCGACAGAGGGAAGAAGGGGGGAAGGAGAACGCCCCTCAAAGAACGGGGTACGGGGGTCGCCACGAGAGGCACCTACAGCGACTATGCTAGACTCAGCTGCAAGGAGTTCCTTCTCGAGGAGTGCAATGGTGAGCTCAGTGGGGCAGCGAGCTAGGAAGTGGTCCCTGACTGAGCGCAGAGTGTCAGGGAGGCGGGTGACTAGGTGGTAGAGAGTGAGCCAGAGCGGGGGTGGGTTCTTGGCAAGGAACTCATCAGGCATAGCAGCGCGGAAGCGAGCCTCACTAGTGCGGAGGTGCGTAATGAGGTCAGCGACTGTGTGGAAAGAGGCTAAGTCGGGGAACAGGTAGGGAAGAGAGAGACGGCCTAGTGTGGCAGAGGCCGGTGAGGAGTAGCGGGCAACGACACCAGTGTACAGTGCCTGTGCAGTCTTGTGCTGCCCAAAGTGCTCGCGCTCATCTATCGGCAGGGAGTTGCGAATAGCAAAGCGAGCGTGGGCGTCACGAGTCTGCCATTGTGAGTGGGCAGTGCTGTCAGCAGTAGCAGCAGGGGCAGTGACATGGCCTAGGGCGTGGTCGTACACTGAGATGTCGTCCTTGGCAGTGAGCTGTAGATTGAGGTGCAGGTCATCTAGCCAGGTGTCAAACTTCACTGGGCGGCCCTCAGCATCGAAAGCTAGCACAGGTGGGCTAGCCATAGGAGCAGTAGGAGCAGCAGTAGGAGTAGGACGGTGAGATAGGTAAGGCGGCTCGGACAGTACGCGCGGCGCGGTTCAGTTCAGGTAGGGCGGCGCGGCTCGGGTAGGGCGGCGCGGTTCGGTTCGGGTCGCGCGGCTCGGCTCGGACTGGGCGGCTCGGTTCGGGTCGCGCGGCTCCGCTCGGTCCTGGAGGGGCTGTGGCGGTCACGGGCCGTTCGGGGCCTCTAGGGGCAAGCGCGGGGCCGTTCGGGGCCTCTAGGGGCGAGCGTGGGGCCGTAAGGGGCCGCTAAGGGCGAGC